AAACAACTAGCCGATCGTGAAGCTCGACGCCTTGCTTCTGCACCTCCGCCATGGCTGCTGCCTTTGAATGTGCTCAACAAAATCAAAGTTTGTCAACTCACACCCAAAGATCTCGTCCGTCTGCTTGCCTCTGCTGCTGCCTTTGAATGTGATTGACAAAATCAAAGTTTGTCAACTCACACCCAAAGATCTCCTCCGTCTTCTCTCGGACTCGGCCTGGGTTTTCACCCACGAACTCAGCCTTGCAGATGGCCTTATAAAGAAAAAAAAAAAAAAAAAAAAAAAGTAGCAATGATTATGCCGGGAAGCATATTTCAAAAAAAAAAAAATAAAAAAAAAAGTAGTAATTATGATGCTGGGAAGCATCTTTTAAAAGAATAATAAAAAAATTAAAAAGAAAAAAATGATGGTGCTTCTGGAGCCATGTGCAAAAAGAAAAAAATATATATATATATATAATAAAAAGAAAGAAAAAACAATGGTGGTGCTTCTGGCACCATCTGAAATATATATATATAAATGAACGGTGGATCAGCGCCACCGAAAGCAAAGGAAAGAATAAAAAAATGATGATGGACGGTGATGTACATGTTTTCTCTGTATTTAGCACAATACACTAAATAAAATAAAACATGTTCATTGATTTTCCAGAAATTACAAGTTTGTACAAAAAAAAAAAAAAAAAAAAAAAAAAAAAAAAAAGAAAAAAAAAGAGATGAAGCTTTCACAAAGGATGTGTACGTGAAGCCCCACTACGTGGCAACACTCTCAGAGTAGGAGGCATCGGAGCAGAAGGCATCGGAGCAAGAGGCATCGGAGATAGAGCATTCGAGGCCTCAATACTTGGCGGAACGCTTGATGACGCCGGAAAAATGTGCCTCTGGAAGAAAGACGCAAGCCTTTGACGGTCACTTTGAATGCGACCTTGAGATTCTTGCATCTCATCAAGCTTCCTCTTCATGCCCGACGAATAGTTATTTGCAAGCACGTGCAAACTTCTATTCTCGTACTTAAGCTGTTTAATCTCCTGCTTAAGATCTTCCACTTCTGCCATCAATGATTCCACCTGACGGGACCGAGCAAGCAGGCGTTGGCCCATGTTGGACACAGAGCCCGCACACTGAACACTAAGAGCGAGGGACTCTTGAACGGCCAACTCATCGGACCGTCCTGACAGCAGCCTACTATCTTTTGGAGTGAGGAGGTTCCTAGCTACTATTGTAGCTGTTGTGGCGTCCTGCATCACGGAGTCTTCACCTGTAAGAGGACCGTTAGAAGATAAGAAAGAAGGGCACCATACATTACCTTGAAGCGGCGCAACCGGATCACTGCTGAGACTCAATTCTAAGCTAAGGTTCGATGGGTTAGCCATTTTTCAAAGGTGTTAAAAGAGATGGGTGGATGGAGTTAAAACTCAAAAGGTCGGAGATGATTTTCAGGAATGAGCAACCTTCAAAGTGTGCATGTTAGAGGTGATCAATACCTCTATAAAAAGGAAGAGGCACTTGTTCAGAAATCGAAGGGCCGCTTATTCAAAAGTGAAGAAACATCGCTCTGCAAATCTCAAAAGCTGGATTTTCCGGCGTAAGTTAGGCGACGCTTTCTCGGCTTTCCAGAAAACGCGTTCAACTTTGTCAAAAGATCTCCGACAAAGTTGAAAACACGTGGAGGCTGGCGACGCTTTCTCGGCTTTTCAGAGCACGGGTGCCACTTTGTCAAAAGATCACGTGGAGGTCATCATCGCAGCTACACATCTTTAGCTGACAAGCGCAAAGTTCGACGACGCTTTCTCTGCTTTTCAGAAAACACGTGCAGCTTTGTCAAAAGAGGCACTCGTTCAGAAATCGAAGAGGCGTCGTTCAGAAATCAAAGAGGCGTATTCAAAGATCGAAGAGTCGTCACTATTTCAAAAAGCCGGATTTGCGGGATCAAAACGTTTGTCGACAAGGGTAAAAGAACAGTACCACCACTTGCTATTGGGAAATCCCTATATATGTCGACCTTCATCTTTTATGGCAAGGCAAACCTGCAAACAAGAAAAAAAAAAATGCCCAACTCTTCCTCACCTCCGAGAGTACACTCCCAGCAAAGCATCTCAAAATGCTCAGTTTTCTTCCTCTCCGGGAATACCCTTGCAAACAAATGACACTAAGGCAAAAGTATCTCATATCATCAAGGGCGAAAGCAAAGGTATCTCATATCATGCTTTTCCCCTATCTTTTCCTTTGCCCTTGTTCTCACTTGCCAGGACAAGGACAGAGAAAGCAATATGTCGGAACCTCCACTCAAACTTGCGCTGCCACCAAGAAGTGATGGTCCATTCAAATGCAAGGTTTGCATTCAACTCCTGCATCAGGAACAAATAGTACAAGAGAAGATGCTAAACCTGCATAAGGAAAGACCACATCTGCTCGGAGAAAGACAAGTGACAATGAAAAATCAATCTTTCTATTTCGTACTCTTCAGTACGAATTAGAAAGATTGAACAAAGAAACAGAAAAAAGGAGTAAGCTCAGACCTTCGGGGAAGACCAAAAGAATCCTGCTGCCCAGTTCAAGAGTAGCACAAAGGAAAATCAACGATAGGGGGAGACCAAAAGAATCCTCCAGCCCAGTTCAAGATCAAGCCTCGATAGCCCTTGAAGAAATCACAAGTCCGATTCAAAATCAAGTGTTCACCACCCTTGAATCAAATTCAACTCCAGATCAAAGGAGTAAGTTCAGACCTTCGGAGGAGACCAAAAGAATCCTCCAGCTCAGTTCAAGAGTAAGCCTGCGGAAAATCAACGATTGGAGGAAACCAGAAAATCTTCCAGTCGAACTCAAGATCAAGCCTCGATGGCCCTTGAAGAAATTTCCAGCCCAATTCAAGATCAAGCCTCGACGGACCTTGGGTTGACATCTACATTAAGGGACTTCAAAACGCATCTTCTACACGTGACAAGCACATGCCTACGACGCGCCTTGAAGTGGGGGCATTTGTAGACATCAAAATTTCGGTGAAATGAATGTTGGCCAATAATTAAAATTTCAACGTTCACGTGTCACATAAATTTTACATGAAGCGTGTGATTCAACGAAAAATCGAAATAAATTGGAAAAGTCATCAAATATGACACGTGTCAATACCTGGCAGAAATGATTTATTTCATCTGATTATTTAAATCCAAAAATCAAGTTTTGGAATTCTATAAATAGGAGGCCAAGGCATTCATTTTGGAAAAGAAGGAAGGAGAAGGAGAAAGGAAAAGAAGAAAAGAAGGAAGGAAGAAAGAAAGAAGCCTTGAAACTCTAAAGCTCTCAAGCAAATCCCGAAGGATCAAGAAAGCAATCTTCGTTCTTCGTCAAATCCACCTTCAAGATCAAGCCCCGACGGCCCTTGAAGAACTTCCACCAACTCAAGATCAAGCCCCGACGGCCCTTGAAGAAAGTGTTCATCGATCATCATCCGTTCATCCTAAGGTCAAGCCCCAACGGCCACTTTGGATCAACAACCTCAACAAATCCACACATCCAACCAACCTTCAAGATCAAGCCCAAAAGCCCTTGAAGATCCGCTCATCCACCAACCTTCAAGATCAAGCCCAACGGCCTTTGAAGAACTTCCACCAACTCAAGATCAAGCCCCGACGGCCCCTTGAAGAAAGTGTTCATCATTCATCAACTGTTCATCCTTAGATCAAGCCCCGACGGCCCTTTGGATCAACAATTCATCCACAAACGTACACCCTTCGAAGATAGAATCAGAGGACCAAATTACAAAGAGATTGTAACCCCAAAATCATTAATACAAAATATATATTTTGTACACGTATTCTTGTCGCTTGTTTCAGGAATTTCTCGTGTTTACAAATAATATTACTTCATAAACAAACATTCGATATATAAATATTTGTGTATGGTTGTTCAAATGTCTCAACTTCGACTCACGTAAATGACGAAACGATATATACTTATAATGTACTAGAAACATAATTATGACTAATCTTGATAATGTAGCTTTTTTGTGAGTGCATCATATACTTTGTGGTACTAATCTTATTATTTATCAAAAAATAAAAGGTAGACTATCTTTTTAATGCATAAGACAAGTATGATATGTGAATGATGATCAAAAGATAAACAGCTCGAATCGTTAAAATAATTTACATAATAGATCTAGAAAACATGTGTCAAAACTTGTGTATAAAAAGCGGTACCATGGATTCTGCCATTTATATAAAGGAAAACTAATGAAAAGAGTTTGAAAACTTTGAGTTTTAACGATAAGGACAAAATAAAGGGTAAAATGAATAGTATCAAGATTGACTTTTTAGTGTAAAAATGTGATTTTTCGTTAAAGTAAACAGTATCGCGGGCTTTTCGTTAAATGGATAAATCTCAACATGACTCAATATCTGCACGACACCTGGACCTGAATTGGAGTCCCAACTTGCTTAGCAAAACACACTTTACGCTGCCCCATACCAAGTCAGCCCAACCCAACTTAAACTCCACCTCATAATTTAAGGAATCCAAATTAGCTTCCTTTCTCGAAGACTGCTTCCAATCCATGCAAATTAATCAGAGATTAAATCGAATTTACAGCCGTTATTTTGCATAATTCCAGATTATCAAGATTTAGATTTCACCATTTATAGAATTATTCACACAAATTACTGGTAATATTATCTGTGCCTGTAGGGGTGTGTATGTATTAGCACCTTTTGTGCAAATGTCATTATAAAAATATGGATAACACTAGCCTAACCATGTAAATGGAACTTCCCAAAGAAAAAAAAACGTATAAAATCGCACTCACGTGTTACTTATATTCAGTTATTAACATGAAACTTTACAATATATGTGGCACATTACAATTGATACGGTACGCTATGATTGATGTATAAAATTTAGCCGTGCTTAAAAACATCCACGTAAGAATATGTAATACGCGAAGCTATCATTATAAGTGTATCCTCCAAATTGGGAATGTTGTTTTGTGCCATTTGATTTATTTCATAACTGATGACCAGCCATTTAAAGTCACATTAAGATAATTTTGAAACCTAAAGGTCACTTTATATTAAAACGACCAATATTCAAGATAAAAACTTGATATTTCATCATAAATAATAGAAGGCCAGTAATCCACATTGACAGATTGTTTGACCATAAAATAAAGGTACATTCAAGCCATTAAAAGAAAAGATAAAACTTAAAAAGGAGCAGAAAATATGGAAAACGAAATCAAAATCTGAAAAAAAATGAACTATTATTTTTCATTTGGGATGAACCTTAAACTTATATTTAATGCGTTCGGATTTACATAGATGCGAGCCAGATACGATTATAATTGCACTATATAGAAAGAAATAAAATCGAAAATATATAAGAGGAGCGCTCAAGCACTAAACAAAAAATAAAAAATAAAAAGCATCATGCACCATATGGCCACGGCCTCCGAAGGACATATATTTCTGGTTTTGTTGCTTTTGCATAAGGAAATGCTTGTCACCTACTCACCATATTAAGTCCCCTATCAAGTTTCACACCCTCCCTTCCTCTCTCACTCTCTCTCTCCTCACATCAAACGCACACAGTTTTTAGAGAGAGAGAGAGAAAGCAGAGAGATTTCTTGCTCTTCATCTTCCATGGAGAAGCACAGAATCTGCAAGATCTGCAACAAGCGGTTCTCCAATGGAAAAGCGATGGGGGGTCACATGAGGTCCCACCTCGCCAAGCTTCCTCTCCCTCCGAAGCCGCAGTCGCCGCAGCAGCAGCAGCATCACCAACTCAGTAACTCGCCGGAGTCGTCGTCTCTTCCATTTTCGACCTCGAACAGGGGCATGCATTCTTCTCTGGATTCAGCCGTGGTCCACGACGACAGCGACAGCGAGTCCCACCCGAGAAACCCAACTCGGAGAAGATCCAAGCGGCGCCGCAAAGTGATTGGCAAATCTTCGCCGCTGCCGTTCGAGGCAGAACAGGTGAGTTCTGTTTCCGATACTTTTTCAACTGAAGATGTTGCCAGGTGTCTCATCATGCTATCGATGGATAAATGGAAAAAAGTGAAAGTAAAAAATGGGGTGGATGAGTCCGTGGAGGAGGAGGAGGAAGATGAGTCCGACAGCGGCGGCCGTTCAGATTTTCGGATCAAGGATCGAGTCCGGAGTCAGGGAAAGTACAAGTGCGAGACTTGTGACAAAGTGTTCCGATCTTATCAAGCGCTCGGAGGGCACAGAGCGAGTCACAAGAAAACCATCAAAACCCAAGTGTTTGATGACTATGAAGAGGAAGAAGATGAAGATTTTGAGGAAGATGATGGGCAGGATGGTAACCAGGATGTGGTGGAGAATCACAGGACATTTGAGTGCTGTGTTTGTTTCAGACAGTTTGATTCCGGCCAAGCACTCGGTGGGCATAAAAAAGTACACTACTACAATAATTTGACCAACAATGCCCCTGCTAGGAATGTTAATTTATCATCATCTTCTACTAATTTTGTGGACAATTTGGTCATTGACCTCAATCTCCCTGCACCAGAGGAGGAGGAAGAAGAAGATGAAGAGGTAAGCCAGGTTGAATTCTCAACAGTTTCCGATTGATGCAGTTCAAAGAAGTGCTTTTAAATTATAAGTTGAAATATTTGATCAATGATCATTGACAACTTAAAAGTTAAAAAGTGCTCATCATGTTGTTTTGTTTTCCCAACACATGGTTTTCTTTTTGTTGTGTATACTGATGAACTAGATATTTCTCGTTTCCCTTTTGAGAATGTTATACAGCGGTTTTTGATTTGGATAGTTTAATGGAGATTGGTTCTTTTTTTTATTTTGATTATTTTAATAGTTTATGATTTTGGCCCTTGGATACTAAATTATGCGTGGGGAAATCGTTGAACTCGACTTTGGCATTCGGAAGTTAAAGTGGGAGTGTCCAAATTTTGAACTCGATTTTGGCATTCGGAAGTTAAATTGGGAGTGCCAAGATCGATAAACACGAGCTATTCCATTCCATGAACTTTACAATTTCCAAGCTCAGTTAGGAATTGGAGATGAGGCAATAAATTTTCTGTTTTACATTCAATCAATCTCGTTAAAAAGATGAGAATTTTTCTTTGCTTGGAGGAAAGTCAATGTCAATTGTCAAACAAAATTATTAAGTTACAGTGAAGTTGCCCTTGTTTTTGGGAAAATGATCATCGTTGGATTATTTGTCTAGGAATTATAGGGATCCAACGATTGTGTCTATTCATCGTACATCGTGCGATTAATTTTTATTAAGTACTATATATATATTTGAATTTAATAAGTTACAGTGAAACTGTCCTTGTTTTTGCTTGTCCATCTAATTGTTTTTACCTAATCAAAACTGATTCCCTCGTTTTTCTCTTTAGGAAAATAATTTAATTAAAAAGTTGAATAATATGAGGACAAAAATACAAGTTGATAAATTAAAGTCCAAAATACTTTAAGTTTCTACCTGTCATTGCCTCCTTTTTAGTTTGCACGGTTGGTGAAGAAGTCAAGAGAGAGAGCCCCCCACAATGCATCTCTCTCCCTCTCTCTCTTCTTCTTCTGGATTCCTTTTAGTTTTGGTGTGCTGTAGTAATTCTGTGAGGTGAAGCCATGCATGGTAAGGATGACATGTCACGTAATGCCATTTTGCATTTAATTAAATAATGGGGTTTTGGAATCAAATATAGTCTTCAGTCCAAGACCTCCCAAGCCCCAACCCACCCTGTTTTATGCCGTCTCGAGTGTACCCAAGTTAGATAAATTTGTGTTTCTTTTGCATTTAAGTTCAAATTTGTATTACGTAGTATAGGTTAGATTATAAAATTAAAATTACACTTACTTGTATATATATATATATATATATAAAAAAAAACTAATTGAAAGAATGGATAGAATGATGGGTAGAAGTAGGCTAGGTCGATAATGCAAACCAACCATTATTTGGTTTTTCAATCCTTTCAAGCTTTTTCCCAAAATGAAACAGAAAAATATCCTTCAAATTAAACTCGTGGCAGTGGATTGAAGATTTTTGGGATAAGTGAAGATTTGCTTAATTGATTTTGGTCCAACTTGGATAAGCTCATTCATTTCAGTATTTGACTCGGAGAGCGTAGTGATACCTAATATTATTTGAACCCGATTGTGCATTTATCTAATTGTTAATTAGTTTGAAAACTAGATACGTATGCGTTTAACAATAATTTGTATTTTATAGTATTACCTCTATTTCAATTCTTTCATTATAAGTGAAAAGGAATAGGTAAATCGTTTATTCTTATAAATATATATACACACACATTCATTGTATATACATGGTAATGTTGTGATGGCTCATGTATTATGCCAATGTTTTGAGAGGTTCGTCACTAGCCTCTCATAGTTCGCCAATATCCCCACTTGAACATTTTATAGGCACATACATTTTTTAGGTATATATATATTTTGATCTCAGAAAACTATAACCTCTAACTTTGAGGCATATATAATACTTCGGGCATTGTAGACTCACTCTTAATTTTGATTTATATATATTTTTTTTTGCAATTGTTAACGCTTAAAATTGGGAGGTTGACAAAAGTTAGTGTGGTCGGCCCTTGATGGGCTCAGAATAAGACTTCAAGTAATGGATAACAAGATATAAGTGGTTCATCCCTAAAATGGGCTATGTCCATTGTATTGCTCGTATATATTGAATATGGGTTACAAGAATTGGTTAGTATTAGTTTAAAATCTCTTTTCTCTTGTGTGTCCGATCATTTATAAGAGGTACTCATCCCCTTATATAGGCCTTTAGGAAGCCCCAAAAGTCATGGGCTCTTAAGTATTCACTGCAGGGCATTAAATGAATCAAACGCGTTGATATGACTTGCTAAATACTCCTTCGTTTGGTCAACACATGGTGGTGAAGTGACATTTGTTCAGAGCTAACTACATGTTTTTCTGGACTAATACATATTGAGCGCCTTGCTCGACCCTGGTGTTTGAGGAATTCGAACACTCAATCTGACATCTTTTATGTCCCTTCATAGGCCTCTGCCCTTGTTGATATTTAACATGTGGCTTAGGGTTGGTGTTTAAGTAGGCATGTCCCTGTCTCCTTTCTATAAAGTTGTTAGTATGACAATTTGTTTCAAGTGGTCAGAAAATACCTTATGGTAATGTGCTCAGCTTACTTGACGATAGTCAAACCAGACTATTGAGCGGTTGTTTATTGCACTCGGAGATGCTTCCTCTAATTCTATTGGACTAGTTCATGAGCCCTTTGATTGGTCTCATGTTCTTTCCTTAGGCCTTTTTGGGCCCTTTCCTAGGCCCGTATTATTTTAGGGGTCGAAAAAGACCCTGTGTTAACAACGGCATTTATCATTTAAAAGAAAAATACAATAAAAAAAATTATCAATAGGAAGATCCAATCGGAAGATAGGATAAAGTAGGGAGATATCCTAGCCATTAATTATCATCATTGCAAGAATGTCAAGTTAATAACAACCAAAATTGAAGGACTAGGATCCTCTCCCCTCTAATTTTTCTTTCCTTCTCTCTCCTTCTCTCTCACTTTTCTTTTTGTCTTTCTATCTCTATAAAGAAGTCAACACAAGATGTTGACGTGGCTTAATCATGACGGTTCAAACAAGAGAAGAGAAAGAAGGGGAAAGAATCTACTCTAAAATTGAAACTTTCGTATCAAATATTTTAATTAATTATAACCTTAATTTCACAAAGTACACGTATAAGGAAGTGAAATGTCGAGAGATATTTTAGAGCGAACAGAGCCCTGTACACCAAGTGTCTAATATAATTGGCTGGAAACTTGAAAAAAAAAAAGAATTACAACCAATTGTATTATCACTCTTGGTGCACCGTGTTGTTTTCCTGGCACACTGAAAAATTTCTCGCGAAATGTCAATTAACAATTCTATTCAAGGAAGCAAAGGTCAAAAAATGAAATATTAGACTGATTTTTTTAAGGAAACTTTCGATCTGGTCTCTAGTATACTAAAATCTTAGATTGAAACCTTATTAATTTGAGTACTTTGATTTTAGTTACTCCTCCCTAAAACCATGCCAAGGTTAATAACAAATATTTTTTTTTTATTGTAAATTGGTAGAGGCTTTAGTATTTAGAGTTTCCCCCTTATATACTATAGGATAGAGATGAATTGTTGGATTTCATTGTAAATTGGTGTACATTCAATGAATCAAAACCTCGTGAACATTGTGGAATTTTTCCAAACAAAAAAAAGAACATGGTTTTAGGTTGCTAAGTTTGCATTTCTGAAACAAATGACAGCTTAGTAATTAAATTAGCCATTGGATGCTTGTAAATTTGTAATTAAGTGACAAACGATAGAATCATGCATGCATACATAGTTGTTTGTTTTATATATTTCTGTAGCGTTGACCAATGCGATAGAGAAAGCAATAGAGTTGGTGAGTACATAGTGACTAGCATGACATGATGAATTAATTAAGCTGTCTAGTTTGCATGCTCAATCCTAACGTGCGACCAACTCCCTCAATATCCATGCCTTATATTAATCAAAGTCATCACTTGTCCAATTAGTCCCAGAAATTAATTCATGAGATGAACAACACTTACATGTCACGCAGGCAGCAGCAGCAATCCAGCCCTCGACTTCTCAGAAGCAGAAGTGGAACTACTTCTCCGACCACAACCCTAACCCTAACCATACCGCAAAACATTTCAAGTTCATCATGCACTACCACGCCATGCAACAGCCAAAGATTCACCACCCCCTGCCGCTCGAAATCCATCGTAAAATCAAGAGGCAATAAGGATCAGAAGGAAGAGAAAGTACATGCACTCAAGCAAAAGAAGGGCTGCCAAGAAAGTATCAGTAGAAAACAAGGTACTAATAATTTAGGTTTAAATACAAGTTTTGCTAAGTTGCAGGGTGGGAGTACTAGTCCAAGTCCACGCCCTAGGACATCAGTGTCCGTGCCACCTCCGAGGTCTCCGTCCGCATGGGCGTTGTCCCCGGGACGGACTTTGCCGTGGAAGGTGGCGCCGGAGTCCCCGGCAGCTGTGCCTTCCACAAGAGCATCTAAGGTTAAGTCTGGTGGTGGCGGGGTTGGTGGAGTTTTGAAGTATTTTAGGCTGCAGAAGAAGGTGTCGCCGGTACAAGAGGAGGACTTCCACCGGTTTCGGCTTTTGCATAATAGGCTACTGCAGTGGAGGTTTGCAAATGCCAGAGCTGAGGCTGCTAAGATTGCAGCACAGAAAAGTTCACAGGTACTAATCATATATTAATGCTTATTTCACTATTTGACCCTGAAGGTGTTTGTAAATTACTATTTGCCTCATGATGTTCCTATGACCCAATTCACCCGCTCAACCATGTTTTTGTTACCACTTTGTGTATGCCGTTAAATTTCGTAAAATATTCCGTCCAACATGCTGGCGAGGCATAATGGAGCTCATTATTTTACTTATTTGTGCCGCAACAACACTTAAGGAGGGTTTATTGTGTATGGAGTTGAATAGACTTTGTTAGACTTTGATACTAAATTGCCTACCATATATATATGCATTGAGGATCATTATTTTCACTTTTGCCACACTATATAATATATATGTCGTCACCACCACCTAACCATGACCACCTCCACTACCCTATTGCTGACATCGGCACAATTGATGTTACCATAATCACCATTGTTGCCACCGCCCCACCATTATATCCCATCTTCTACCACCACCTTGTCATACTGATCATCACTGTACCACAGCCTCCTACAAATATATTTATGCTGTAATCGATACGACCACCATGATCGCCACCTATAGTACCACTATTTTACCTTGTCTGCCACCACCACTCCCACCACTTCCTCTACTATAACTGCCATGTCACGGTCATCACCTTCTACGTCCCCCTTACCACCGCCAACCCCATCCATGACCACTACTAACATCGCTTGATCGCCACATTTACCTCCGTTTTACCTTGCCCATCACCACCACCCAAACCCCCACTCCTCCACCACCCGACACCACATCAGAAACACACAACTTACAAGAATTTGGAATGAAAAATATATAATATTCATCAGTTAAGGATTCTTTCACATGTCTAACAATTTTGGTCATTCACGAATTAAGTGTAGTCTTGCCTATATCAGTTAATGAAAAATATATATTGTGTAGAAAAAGTAAAATTACGTAAGTGTAGTTTTGCCTACTCCTATTTAGTTTCTTAGTAGAAGAAATTAAAAAAAGGGGGTATAATTATTACTTAAGTCTGTCATTAAACTCTCAAAAATATATCTGTAGAAGTTTATTATTGAAAAGTCTGTAAATTTCATGGAGTTTCTGATAGTCAATAAAAGTGTATGAAATCCACAAAATTCTATCACATTAATTTTTGGATTAAATACTTAAAACCCCCAACTATTTAGTGTCATTCTAAATTTGTCTTATCATCTTGAAACATTACAAACAAGTACCCAACCTATTGAAAATGTCAAACTTCATTTAATTTTTTCGGTAAATGTACATGTGGCAACAATAGGTTCCACTTTTTAGCTTACTTGGACACCAATAATAAAAAATAACTTCAAAAAAAACATGAAGATGAAAAAATAAATTCACAAATAAATAGAAAATAAAAATGAAATCGAGAACTATCAAGCCCTCGCCACCTCTAAACTCAACCTACGACAACCAAAACTCTGTCACAACTTTTATACTTTGAAAGCTTTGATTGGCCTACTTGGTGGTTGGAAACTATTAAGTCCTAGGATATTTGATAAGGTGATCAGCGATAGCATATTTGTTTTGCTCATGTTTGGAGTGGGCTAGAGTTGTAAGGTGGAGTTGGTGGTGACCATTAGTTGGTGGAGGCCATGCTTTCATAACCTTTTATTGATTTTGGAGATAAAATAAGTCCTAGTTAATTTAACATAAATTTAACTAGGACTTAACAGATGGTTACATTTTCAATAAGTTGGGTATTTGTTTGAAATAGTTAAAAACTTGAAATCAATTTAGAATGATACTAAAAAGTTTGGGGATTTTTGGTACGCAATCCTAAATTTTTTTTTACAAATTAAGTGGCACACTTTGTAATTTGCTTAATAGATTGTATGCTTTTTTTTTTTTACAGGATAAAATATTTAGTGTGTGGCTTAGAACATTGAAGGTGAGAAACTTCATCCTAGACAAAAGAATGCAAGTGCAAAAGCTTAAGCATGAGATTAAGGTGTACCAGATTTTGAACCCACAAATTATTCTATTGAATGAATGGGGAAAACTGGATAAAAAAAATCAAGAATCCGTCAGCAGGTTGGTGAGAAAATTGTCTGGAATTTCAAACACAATCCCTTTGGTACATGATGCGGAGGTATAATATCTTTCTCATTATATATATAGATAGATCATAATTTAAACAATTAAAAAATTAAGTCAATCAGTCATAGTGGAGTAGTTTCTCCGCCTCTTTGTACTTAAGTTTGAATCTCTCTTTTTGTATATCACAGGCAAATGTGGAGTCTGTGTACGAAGTCATGACCACGGCCATGGCTATGATGGAAGGTATTTTAGGAATGGTCTCTAAATTGTTGCCGCAGGTTAGTTCCTTATACAGTTGATTAACGCCGAAAAAAGCCTAATGTAGTTTGGTATCTTTCATTGGATCACTATTTGTATGTAATTAAATACTAATTCCGATGATTTTCTTCAGCTGGAAAAGGTGCTTTACATGGTTACGGAGCTTTTAATCGCACAGAAACAACAGAGAGAATTGGAGAATAATTTAGCCTTGGTTTCTGCACTTGCGGTGAGTAACATAATTTCTTGCTGTCAAGCTCGACCATTTTTCTTAGTGATAAATACACACACACACACACAGCATTAGATAATTAATTAAGGAGAAAATCTTAAATACAGATACATTCGATAACATCATTTGTAAGGTATCTATTTAGGCCCTCTCGAACACATTGTGTAAGAGTTGCCCTACCGGGTTGGATTGTTTTACTTGGCGCCAAATACAAATATCTGGGCCGTATAATATTAGAACAGTGGCCTAGATCGAACCGTTAATTTGAATGAAATTGTGCAAATTAATCATGTTTTTAGAGGCAAATAATTGGAAATCGTAAATTGATCTTCTATATTGTTAACAGGAGGAGGAAGCAAGTGTAAGAGCACATCTAATCCAAGTGGAGTCAACGTACCTGTTGCCGCCAACAAATTCTTATAAATTTGATCAATGACAATGCCATCTTCTACTTAAATGATCCTTAGATCGTTGTGCTCATTTTCCTTTGCTCCAATATGATCTTTTATGGCATACATTCTTGTTCAGTAGTAGGACATACAAGAGAAAAATTTAGTTATCCCAACATGTATAACCCATTTTCCTATAGCAAACGTCACGTTTTTTTCTGATGTGTATATCCTCCTATTCTTATAACAAACGTCATATATTATCTGGTGTGCTTACTAACATTTTCCGTACTACATATAAAGTAATCTTGGTCCATGCATGTATAAGATGATAGTAGAATCTAAATTGGTATTTTCATCCTTTCGATCGAGTTTTTTTCTTTGTTTTTTCTGATTATATATGCATGCTTAATTGATTTTTCAAAAGCCTAAGCTTAACGGGAAAAATAGCATGTCCGCACTGGTAATTCAATGGGCTTGAAAATTAGCCCAATTAAACATATAAACTGCAGTTTCGGACTTCCAATCCTCTCCTTTTCTATATCCATTTAAGAAAAAGAGAATTCGAAATTAAGATTTCTTATGACATTGAAAAGAGTGATTAAACAAGTCAGCCAACAAAAACAGTAGTTGGTCACTGGGGCTAGATGGGAACCCAAGTTCAGGTGTCCAACAATGTAGTACTAAGGGCAGTTAAACCCTTTAACAAAATGGCAGTTTACCGCCATAGACAGTTGACGCTCCGCCATTGTGAGACTGCATCACCTCCGCCATTATGCTTGTTTCATTCTTCATCTTCATCTTCATCTTCACCACCACTGTCGGACAAATTGAAATCAGATGCCAACTCCGCAATTTCTTCATCCAGAAAAAGAGCTTTGGACTCTCCTAGCAGCCTCAACTCTGCGCACCTGTGTTAACAGATGCGACAAAATAAAAGTAAAATACTTGAAACAAATAGCAGTCAATAATACCAAGATGTTCTTCTCTCGATGCTTAAGAAGTAATGTTTGAGAAAACAGATATTGCAATATAAATCTTTGCCCGACTTTCACAGTACGATCAAATCAGATGTCAAAAGACAATACATATTAAGGCAAGCAATATATGGGAAATGAAAAACACTGAATTCTACTTGCCCTTACGTAAAGTACTCGCACATACATGAATGCATACGTATATGTGTCTATGTAAGCAGTAAGCATCCGTTTGTGTAAAGATCCAACGAGATGCTAACCCAATTTGTCAGCACTAAGTGAAAGCAACTCAATCACCTAGAACTAAAGACAATAAAAAACATTGATGGCAGTCAAATCGATCAGGAAGCAAATCGTAAACATACCAAGTGATGTTTTCATGTTTAGATTGCGGAGTTGCAGCTGCAAAGCATACATGTTTCCCGTATATCACAAGAAGTAACTTGGGACCATGATGAACTTAAAAAGCTTAAAAATTTTGCTATTTATAGAAAAGCAGGACTAGTTCAAAATACAAACAATTCAGATAAGGTGTAACCACAGAAGGTAAAAAGATATATTTCAATGTTTCACATCCTTACCTTGAATGTATATTCAGGACTTTTACATCACTTCCCACCAGAATGTCCTTGAGTGAAATCAAGCTTGGAACATGACTAATTGCTTCAAAATCCGACTTAAACCCACGAATCTTAAGATAAATGGCCTTACGATAGCCTCTTGGGTGACGGTAGAAGAAGGAATTAGTACGAGAATGAAACATCAACAAGGCCCCATTCTTCAAGTAGTTCATCGATTTATATAAGCCATATGGCCACCTTCCACAATTTTCAGTATCAACAGAAATCTTCTGCCTCCATATTTTCTGTGCACCGTGATCTTCCAATGCCCAAAACTTGATGCGTAAAACGTCATAATCACACAAACAAAGGCAATCTCCCAAAACTCCCATGCTCACAGTATGAGATTTCTCCAGTCGAATAGGAGGTGATGGAATAGATTCGAACTTTTCGGTGTCCAAGTCAAAAGAGTATATTTTATAACCTAAACTCTCGTAGTTGAACGAATAAAGTGCTCCTTTCACATAGGCGGTGTGTTCTAGCATGGATAGGAAGAATGGAGCAGGACCAACAAACTTCCATGAGTCTCTCCCAAGTGTGTGCACCTCAGCCACTTTAGTGTAGGGTTCCCTTTGCTGAAATATTCTCAACACCTTATATTCATTTGTCTTTGGATTGAAACCAAATCCACAATCATACGATTCATTTTCCTTATCGCACTTAGAGGCTGATTCCGGGAGGTGTATAAACTCGCCGGTGACCGGATTGCAGACAACAACAGGGTCATTAGAGAATGGACTAGACAGGCAAAGGAAACCGTTACACAAATTCACCACCTTGTACTTGTGATGATTCGGCCTTATCCTGATACAAGGCTTCCGTTTCCTGCCATGATGTTTCCTCCCACCCACCGAACTCGCCACATTGCCCTGGCTATCGATTACCTCATCCGCATTGCGCAACGGGATTTTGTATTTGGTGAGTTTCATGTGGATATAAGACTTTCCACACCCAGACCGATCATAGTTAATCTTACAGGTGCATTTCCTCAAGTCAAAACCAGACCCGTCTTCCGGCTCAGCCAAGTAAAGGGTTCTTGACACACGGGACGGATCCAGGGGCCGGATCATGGGAAAGGGTTGTGCTTGTGAAAAGTGCAACTTAGTAAATTCGGGGTCCGAAATTAGACCATACCAAGTCTTGCATACACACTTGCAGGCAATAATGTTCCTCGTCGGGAGCTTCAGTAGAACATCGTGAATGAAAGGCTTTGGAAGATCCGTTATGTTAGTCCCCAGTTGTTGAATGTGTTCATCGTTTTTCACCATTTGGGTGGCAGCAGAAGCTGCTGACCTTCTTTTCCTTTTCATGGCTTTTGTCTCAATCTATTTGAAAAATAATAATAAATATATTCAGGTTTATCCTCATCACATTAATTGTTACGCAAGCCACAGTTCTACTGAAGTGGGAAAAATAACCATACTCTTTTATACGACATCAGTTAAGAAAAACGAAGAATATTTACTGCAGATGAGAATCTTAAGAGTACAGTATGATCAAAATTATAACCTAAAACATACATCAACAACGATCAAGTTTTGTGCCACTAAATGGGTTGGTTGTATGATTAGAATATAAAACGCACAACAATAATAGATAAGTCTTATCTCACTAAATGTATGAACTTTAGAACGCCACTCGACTAAGTGGGTCGGTTGTATGATTAGAATCTAAAACGTACAACAATAACAATTAAGCCTTATTCCACTAAGTGTATGAACTTTAGAACGTTATTAGACTCAGTTTTGTGCCAAGTCTAAAAATCCAAAACACAAATTAAGAAAAATAAATACATAAATGGAGTTTTGAAATTGGGAAGTAGGAAAGAGTTGAGAGGAATTACCTAGAAGAATTGCAGCGCTACTGGCATAGAGAGTGAGAGAGGGAGAGAGAGATGAAAAGCCTAGCTTAATGTGTAATGGTGGAAACCTAATTTGTACTTGCGGTTTCTGCTATGGCGGGAACAGGCTTTACCATGGCGGGAAATAACATTGCGTACTTGAGGGCCCAGTGGGCTTGCAAATTCAGCCGAACAACATAGTTTTGTTCTTGATTGACCCAACAACATAGTTAAGCCCTAGTTAGTTGTACGGACTAGACCTGACATTCGTGTCCTGTTTTTTATGTTTGTGTTGTTTCGTGACATAACCGATATATTAACGGGTCATATCGTGTAACACCTGTTAAAGTAAACAGGTAATATGACCCAATCCGAAATTGACCTGTTAATATTATCAAGTGATGTGACCCAATTCGTTATCGGTTAAAGAAAATATATTTTACATCAATAAATAATGAAAATTTTAAAAAATCAAATTCGGTAAGTAGAATAAAGCGTAAATGACATACGGTGGTCAAATTTAAATCTAAGTTTTATGGATTATGGTGTCTGATTTCAAAATTGACCCTTCACGAAAGTTGTAAAGTTTGTCATTATGAATGGTTGTATATTTATTTTACATTTTTCATTCTCCTACAATAATTATTATTAATTTTGCACTCAAATAAAAAACACTATTCATGAGATTTGGAGGGTTTTAAAAATCTAAACGACCACGTAACCATCGCCTAAAATCACGAGCATTTATATATTCTTTCACATTTTTCAAACTTGTAGATTAATGATTTTGAATTTAATTTAATTTGAACTCTCTTAAAAATACTATTCATGAGGGTTTGTATGGTTTTAAAAATTCAAATAACGATATACCCATCCTCAAAGGAGGATGCGATCACTAACGTTTACATATTTTTTTTCACATTTTTCACACCTGTTATAATTTTTTAATGTGTGTGATATTTTTATTTTTCATGTGTTTTAATTTTTAATTTCACTCTTTGCCTATAGTATACTATAAAAATAAATAAGTAAATAAACTTAAGTTTTTTAATTTATATAGAATAATAATACAATATATACATATACATTATGACTATTGTATTTTATAGTAAGTTTTTTTAGTAATTTAAAAAATTAAAATCATCAAAATAACTTTCTTCTTAACGTGTCAAAACGGATTACCCGCGTGTCATCCTTGTGTAAACCTCTTAAGGACCCGTTATTAATAGGTTCTTATCGTGTTACCCGATAATGATCCGATTAGTTATCGTGTTGATCCAAAACCCGTTATTTTGTGTCGTTTACGTGTCTTGATAACAAGTCATGTAAAAAATTGTCAAGTCCAGTATGGACAAAAGAAAAAAAAGACCACTCCAAACCAACAAGGCTCCCCGCTTTGCGAGTATCAGGGAATGGAGGAATGTCCATCTTACGCAACATATCCTTATTTTGCAAAATAAATTGTTTCTACGGCTCGAACTGATCATTATGTTTTTCTCCGTTATGTACATGTTCGTTTATTTTGTTCTTGATTTTTTTTATTTCATTTATTCAATCTGAATGCTAAATTTAAACAAAGAACGTTGCTATTTGTGTTGGTAAAAATTCGT